ATTTATTTTGTGATATAATTCTATATTATTAACAAATTGGGAATCAAATTAAATTTTTATATTTCTTCTTAATTCTCATTTTGGAAAAATTTTCGCGCAATGTCTTATTGTCCGTGTTGAAAATTTTGTTCCTTTTTATTATTTTATCTCATTCTTATAAAATATTCATTCATGTAATATATAAATGTACAAAAAGTAAATAATTATAAAATATATTTATTCGAAAATTATAACATTTTAAGCAGACAGGAATTACATATAGTAAAACAAAATAATTATACTTTTTATATAAACTTTTGCTTATATAAAATGTAAAATAAATTAACATATGAAGATAAAACATTTTAAACATTAAATTTTCCTTAGTTTTACTGACAATTAAAAACATTTAAATATGTAACTAATGAAAATAATATTGTACAATATTTTTTTTAACTTGTGTGAAATAACAACTTCATTAAATATCATAGCTAAATAAATGATATATGCACATTACAGATTTCTTGTTACTTAATATATTATATATAATTCTCTAAATAAGCACGAGATTGAAAAAAAAACTACTGGAATTATTGCATATGTATTTAAATATTATATTTGGTTATGTGAATTACACATATCTTTTGTTTTCATTTAAAGGTAAAGTTTTTTTACTCCTATAATTATATTTAACTTGATTATTAGTACATATATTTCATTTTGACAATTTTAGCTATAATGTTATATTCCTAATTTATAAACTTTTTTATACCTTATATTTGTTAATTGAATAATGATATGTTGTAAGCTGACCTGTAGAGAAGCATCCAAATATTTTTCACATTTAACACACATAAAAAATAAAACATGTAAACTTGATTTGCTGTGATACATTTTAAGGATATTTTATATAATTCTATAGCAGGAATTATAGGACATTTAGCCGTTTAATTAGCAATAGATTTAGAAAATTCATAAATGAATATAATTTATAAGTTTTATTCTAAATTTTGTGGTAATATGTGTATATTGTGGATATATTTTTAAAATTGTAACCAAGTAATTTAATTTAAGACATTTTTAAAGTACTCTATCAAAGAAATCTTCTTTTTATCATATTTTTTGTTAATTATGGAGAATTTATATTAAATATTAAAATATTTAATTTAATTAGAAAAAGATGATGCATTTGTTCACTTCGGGTTTATGCGAATTAAATTTAATAGCAACTACAATACTATTAAGTGGATTCTGATCCACCCAAAAATATTTTTGGTGTTAATGCTATTGTGCTATTAAATTATTGTCTTAAAAATTAGATGAGTGTATATTCATCATAATTTTTGTTCTAAACGCATTACTTTTAGTATAATATGCTTGCTGCTCTTTACATATAACCCAATTTCTCTTACTACCATGTAGCTATGTAGATAATACATAATCACTGTATTGATTTGCATTTATGGTCCACAAACATAAAATGATGTCTTTTATTCAGACAGGGCAATATAAAAAATCATATAATGGTTTTTTATTCATGATTAGACTTAGGTGTTCCTATTTTTATTAGAATTATAATAATTTTTCTCAATCTTAATAAACGAATGAAAAAAATGTTGGCCAGTTTTCTTACGACGCTTATAAACATTTATTGTTTTACACTATCATGTAGATAAAACAATAAAAACAACATTTTCCCCTTTTGATACATAAAAATAAATTAAGAACTACAATAATAGTTGTATTACCCAAAAACTTAATCTTACCAGATTTAAATATACTTTAAATTTACAAAAATGCATCCTAAATTTTTTTTTTTCGAAAATTTTTTATTATTTTCATTTTATATAATGAATTTTTTTTTTTAACAAATTCTGAAATTTAGTAACATATGCAACCTTTCACAAATTGACTCAAAGAAATAAAAAGGTCATAACAAGCTACATTTTCTTAATGGATTAATACTCTTTCTCAGGTGCACTAAAATATTTATAACGATACCATAAAAAATATTATTATAATCATATATTCACATGTAATTTTAAAAATTTTTGAGCAAAATAAATTAATATTACATAATAATAGTTATATATTATAATATATATCTATTTATTGTTATGTTTATCTTCTTTATATAACTATACAGAATCGCACACCTAGATTTTACAGTAATAAAAGGTAAAAACATCCTATTACTCTACACATTTTATTAAATAAAAATGTGCAACTGGATTTTATTGAACATTGTAATAAACATTATTTATATTATATGCACTTTTTAAAATATATCATCTGGATTTATTCAAAGAAAATTGTTTTTAAAACACAAGTGTATTAACAGATTAATAAAAATCAAAAATATATGAAAAAAAAAAAAATTTTTTTTTTTTCTGTTATAATAATATGGACAAGAATACTAATATTTATAAAACAGTTATTTCCACCATGTTTCTAGTATAAATGCTATGATAAGAATAACTTATGTACGATGTTTAGGTCATCGTTATGTATTAACATGTAATTGAAAAGGAAATTATTTATGCAAAGCGTTTATTTAATTTAATTTTTCCACATCAATGAATTATCAATTATTTCAAAGAAATTATGCCATATATAGTGATGTTTAAGCGTTACATAATAAAAACAAAAAATGAAATATTGATAATATTTTCTTACAGGTATGTCTTACGGGAATAATGTTCTTCATCTTTGTATCTATTTAATATTACATACAACATAAGGAACTTGTTGTAATATAATGGAAACTATATCGTTATTGGAAAGGGTATTTTAATATGTGATACTTATATGACTACCATAGGAAAAGAAATATAATATTTGAGTTGTGGATTTATTTTTTTTTTTATTTATGAACATGTAAATCATCATTATTGTTGTAATTTGACTTTATATAATTTTTTTTTTTTTTGTATTAACTTGAAAAAATAATATTTGAAAAGGTTTATTCTAACAAAAATTTACAAGTATGTGTTACAAATTGAAAAATAACCATGAGATATTTTACGGATATATTAAAATATTCTGTCATCGTGTCGCAGGCATCTATGAATGTATAGATCTTTTGTCAATTTTACAAAATCATGGTTGTAAAAACATTCATAAAATTATTAAAAGTGCTCCTTTTATATTTTACATCAAAGGCGATGTGATAACTATATAAAGATTTAATAAATCTATAAATGATATACTATTTTTGTTAAAAATACTAGCCTTTATGATGTGATATGTTTTTGCTATAACATTACTATGCAGCGAACTACACAATATGTATATAAAAGTTCTTAATATTTCTTTGCAATTTTTGAACAATAATAACATTCTAAAAGTTCATATTATTCATATTATAAATAAAAATAAGTACGTACAATAGGCGTTGCAATGATTGATGTATATTAATATCGATATATGGATATTTAAACATAAATATAACTCTAATAATAGCTCAATATTTAAAATAACAAATATAAGAATAATGAAGACATATGCATTTAAAACTATATAAATAGATCATACAAAAATTTTACTCAAAAAATCACAAAACTAACTTCTATTTTTAACATATATATGCTTTAAATGATGACTTAATTAAATTTAGTCTTGCAAATTGCTATTTTATGTATTACACATAATGCTTATGCAATTATTATCCATAAAAATATACACATAAATGTATAGATTCATTATGTATAAAAGTTGTAAACACTAAAATTTTACACAAATTATGAGTTTTCACAAAACAATAAAATTGTGTTAATGTGTTTATCCGTTTAATGTATTACCTCAAATCATCGAATTATATTCTTATATATTTTTTAAATTAAGGCATTAATGAGAAAAAATTATAAAATACAGGAAAACTAGATGGTGTATATTTACAGTTGTTTTTTATGTGGGCACTTCAAATGCAGGTACCTTTTGTTTAATTACAAAATTTGTGTATTAATTTTAAAGCACACCCACTTTTGTACTATTTCGTATTGCTGGTACGATGTCTTAAAAAATTATAATTTTGAATGACAAATTCTTTTAAAAATTAAATTAGTAAGTTAATCTTCTCATTCTATATCTACTTTTATAATCGTTTTTTTTTTTTTTTGTTGTAAAAATACCCTGTCAACCCAAAAACAGAACCAAAAAAAGTTAAAGCCAATAAGGGAGGATATAAAAACAGAGGCGCTAAAAGTAGTGGGGACAATGCACCTAAACTACATGCACAAAATTCTTTAATTTTATTTTTATGTGATAATTTTTTCATAATTCTATTTTCCCCACCACCATATTCATTATATTTGTCTAATGTACTCGATGAATTCCGTGTTTTTATTTCATTATAGTCATCATTTCTGTGAAGCGTATTAATGGTACCTTTTTTTCCTTCATGATAAATGTTGTCCTCACGTCTGTGATGTGATTCGTCATACCTCGATGATGTGTTTTTCTGATTCATTCCTTTTGTTATAGTAATGTCTATTATGCTATCATAATCAATTTTTTCACAATACGGTATAGTATGATCATCATCATCTGCTATATCAAATTGGGACTGCATAAAATAATCATCTTCTATATCAAGTTGTAAATATTCATAATCACCATTTTTTGCATCGTATCGTGAGGGGGAATGATGTCCATAATTGTGTACTTTTTCCCCACCACTTTTATAACCTGATAATAAATACTGAATTGAATTTGTAAATATCGAATCCATTCTCTTACTATTTTCAGCTAATACACGTTGAGTTCTTATAGAATATGTGTCATTTAGATTGTCGTTTTTATCTAATAGCATACAAATGTTACCCTAAAAAGTAATAACAATACATAATATTTTATTATTCACAAATATATATATAAAAAATGTATTTTTTCAACAAGTAAAATTACAATAAATAAAAGAGTGAAGTGAATGAAAAAAAAAATATATATAAAAAAGCACGTGGCATTATTTACTGTAATTTATTATACATACCGAATCACTATAACTCAGAGTATGGCACACTAATAGAGCAATAGTGGTGGCAACTTTAAGAATATTAATAGAAGATTTTACTCTTTCTATCATGGTACTATGCATTTATACTATCAAATATTCTATATTTTCAAATTCAAAATGAAGTTTACAATGGAAATTATTAAATTATTTTGATTTCTTCTATTATCTGTATTTTATAGAAAAGCTATATCTTACATGTGTAATATAACGTAATTAAAAAAATTAAGAAATAATTTACGAATATTTTTACAAGAGTTCAAGGTTCAGGTTAGGTTTAGGGATTAGGGTTCAGGGTCTCAAGGTTTATTGGTAATGTTTAGGGTTTATGTTTTAGGGTTCAGGGTTTTGGATTTAGGTTTTAGAATTTATGAAATATTTTAAAATATAGATTTTTATATTTTTAGAATGTTTTTATATGAAATTATTATGTTTATTATATTTATATGTTAATTATTGTTATACATATTATTTATAATGTATTTAATTATTATATAATTGGCCATATTTTTTTTATAAATAATTATATGCATGTTTTATTCATTCATAGAATATATTATAAGGTATGTAAGGAATTTTTTTCAGAATATATTATTTGATTATCACATATATAGTAATTATTTTATGATAACTTTTTAACGTTTATATTCTACCTGATATTTTATGTATACTCAGTTTTATTATATGTACAGCTAAAATGTTTTAGTTTATCTATGAACTTGTAACTGAATAATATTCATTTATTTTTTTTAATATTACTATGGATCATGATTTATATTTGATATAAATAAAGTCTACGTTTAAATTAAATAAGTCATATATTTATAAAATTACGTCATATATAATGGCATTATTCATTAATAAACATTTTTGTGTACGTTCCTATCTTTGCATGTATGTTCTAATATGATAGATAAGTAGTTTTAGGTTTTTCTTAGTCTTTAATATATTTTGGAAATATAACGTTAAACCTAAAGTAAAAAAAGAAATAATTAAAGTTGTAGAATTTAAAAGATGTACCTTTAAATGAAAATATATTGCTTGTTTATTATAAATAACTTATTTTGAAATATTGTACATATTGTAATTTTAATAAAATATATATTAAAGGGTCTCTTTTCACATACATATTTGCAACTAATGCTATATATATATATATATATATAAATTAACACCTATATATGCATTATATTTTTTATAAAGAACTATTATGCATTAAAAAATTCATAATATATAATATATTTCATACAATATATAATAATTATCTTTAATAATGAATTATATAAAATTATTAAATAATTTTGTTTCTATTTAATTATGCTGAACCAATATATAGTTTTGTTACTATTATTTATAATTAAGAATTTTATTTTTCCACGTAAATTTAAAACATAACAAAAAGTTTAATAATATTGAAATTATATAAATTTGTTAAAAAATAAACATTTCTAATTTAATACATATACATTATAATAAAATAATAATTAGTTGTTATATATAAAATGATCTATATATTCACAATATAATATTTCCATTCTATTATAACTATTCTGTTTTTATGGACACGGGGTTTGTGATTCACATGCTCATGATGCATTATTTATTATATAGGAAATTGTTATAAATAGATGTTGTCAACATAATATTTTGATTTATCATTATTTTAATAATTATACATTTTGAGGTTAAACAAGATATACAAATTATTAATAATTTTAGAGTATTTTATTTTAATATATTATTAAATTTAATTAAGAATTAGAAACTCATTCAGGTAAATTTAATTATTTCTTACTAATAAAATTATTATGAAATATATATTCTATAATTTATGCAGATTGCAAAAGAATTGGGATATTAATTATAAAATTATCCTTAATTTTAGCAAAAAATTAAATTGTTTATGTTAATGCAATTATTTTCTTTCTATGTATTCATCAGTGATTTAGTAACATAAATATCATAATGATATGGAATAAATAATAAAATCATAAGTACAACATCAATTAAAACCTAAAAATTTAAATAATAATGAGGGTAAAAAAATGTACAATTAATTGTAATAGTAAATAACATAGCACACCATTATAAGGGTTAAATTTCTATATTAAAAATAAAAATATAAGTATACTTAAAAGAAGAACTGATTTAGTGTTGTCTTCCATGTTATTACTTTTTAATATTGCCATCAATATAGTAAATATAATTATTTATCAGATAGTTCTATGTTTATCATTTATAATAGTTATTAAATAATATTTATATAAAAAACACATTTATTTGAAAAATTTAAAACGTTTACAATATTCCTACAGTTGTAAAATATAGAAGAATATTTAAATATATTAATATTATTATTATATTTATTTAAATAATTTAGTATATAAAAAACAATATTTTTTATAAATTAATATATATAGATCATATTGCATGTATTTACATA